CCTCGGATGGAGGGGGTCGGGCCTCGGCAGTCCTGGCACGGGACAATGTATCGATGCTTCCTACCCAAATACAGTAAAAATGCCAGGAGCAGGAGTGCTCAATCTCGTCAAAAGGCAGCTTCATCCTGGGCCCAACTGCAGGGGGCGGGCATGCGGACAGATCCGCAGGCAAGCGACGTCCCTCCCCCCAGCCCCCTCCCTCCTTCCTTGTTATGAGAGAAATAACACCAGTCTTGCACAAACTCTCCCGGAGAACAGAAAAAGCGTAAACACTGCCGAGTCACAAATGTGATCAGGATAATCCAGGAGCCAGCGCCAATGCAAACATCAGGAAAAGGGAAAATTACAGACCTGTTGTGTTTACGCACACCGACGTCCCAGGCAAAACAGTAACGAAAATATTTAAAGAGGATGACACCTCGGCGTAAAATGAGGCTGTGTTCAGTAATGCAAGGGGTTTTACCACATGAACAGAACGAAGGAGAAAATCATTGAATCCTTTCAGTAGGAGCAGAAAAGGCTTCTGAAAAATTCAACCCTCCGCCCTGGCTGAGTTGGCTCCGCTGGGTGGAGTGTGGGCCTGTGCACCAAAAGGTCGTGGGTTCAAAGCCGGGTCAGGACACTTAGCGAGGCTGCAGGTTCTGTCCGGGGTACAGACAGGAGGCAACCTGTCCATGTGTCTCTCTCATGTCAATGTTTCTCTTTCTCTCTACAAACCAATAAACACGTGTTTTTAATATATTTTATTGATTTTTTTTACAGAGAGGAAGGAAAAGAGATGGTTAGAAACATCGATGAGAGAGAAACATTGATCAGCTGCCTCTTGCACACCTTGTACTGGAGATGTGCCCACAACCAAGGTACATGCCCTTGACCAGAATCGAAGCTGGGACCTTTTAGTCCGCAGGCCAATGCTCTATCCATTGAGCCAAACCAGTTAAGGCAATAAACACATATTTTTGAAAAGTTCAGTAGTTACGTGTAATAAAAGTGCTTAGCAAATGGAGAATAAAAGGGAACGTTCTTAAGCCCACGAAGGGTAATGACAAGAACCGACAGCAAATGTTTTGTGAAGAGTGAGAAGCTGAAAGCTTTCCTCCGAGGTCAGGACTGAGACGAAGATGGCTGTCACTGTTCATCCTACACGCCACCGGCTGAGAGGCGCTCGCCAGTGCAATAAGGCAAGAAAAAGCAAAAGGAAGGGATGCGGATTGGACAGGGAGAAACAAAACTCATTATTTATAGGTGATGGGGTTGATGATGTAGAAAACCCAGAAGAATCCGTAGACCCATTGTTTGATCATCAGGGAATTTTATTTATGTATGTATGTATGTATTTATATTTTATTCATTTTGTACAGAGAGGAAGGGAGAGAGATAGAGAGTTAGAAACATCGATGAGAGAGAGTCATCGATCAGCTGCCTCTTGCACACAACCTACTGGGGATGTGCCCGCAACCATGGTACATGCCCTTGACCAGAATCGAACCCGGGACCTTTCAGTCCCCAAGCCGACGCTCTATGCACTGAGCCAAACCGGTTTCGGCTCATCAGGGAATTTAAAAGGTTGCCAGGTAGAAGACTAGGATAGAGAAATCCTTTAAAATGTGGAAGAAATAATACCAGCAGTAGTTAGAAAATAGAAGATATGTGAAGGATGCTACTTACAATATCATCTATACGCTGTCCCCACAAAACTGGGGCGATGTTACTGGGGCGATGAATAAGAAAAGTGGGGGACACCCACGTTCACGTGTTGGGGCCTGCGCACCCTAAGTCGGTCCCCTCTCTGAGTCCCAGTTGCAGTGTCAGTGCCGTCTGCCCGTTCACAGGAGGTGGAGCGCGATGGACGTCACAGGCCGCAGAGTCGAGGGGAGGCGCGCCCGGCGGGAAGCGTGAGCGGGGACAGTCCCTGTGCTGAGCAGCAGAGCTCCCCAAGCTAAGCATGAAGACTGCGTGGGACTGGGGGGGGGGGGAGAGAGAGAGAGAGAGAAAGGAGACAAAGCGGGTGGGAACAGACCTGCCAGAGGGCGGAGCTTGTTTAAGACAGAGGAGGGAGAGTGGCCTTTGAAATAAATGCTGAGGGGGCAGTCAGCTCTCCCCGCGTCCAGGCGGGAGAATGAACGTGAGCGCTCCCCGAGCCCTGAGCAGAGCCAGTGCTGTTGGATTGCGCATCTATTTTGTCGTTAATCCTCTCCTAAGGACAGTTTTCCCATGGACTTTTAGAGCGAGTGGAAGGGAGGAGGGAGACACAGAGAGAGAGACATCGATTGGTTGCCTCCCGCCTGCACCTGAGGTACGTGCCCTTGACCAGGGTCGAGCCCAGAGTCCGGGGCCGATGCTCTATCCACTGAGCCACACGGGCCGGGGCTGGATTGGGTATCTCAATGTAAGCGGTTAACGAGCTTCAGGAGACGCAGCCTCTCCGCCTCTGGAAGTCTCTCCCTCCCGGCTCATGTCACCGGCCCTTTCCTTCGCCATCTCATCTCCCTGACCTCCTGCCTCCCGCTGACGAGGACCCTGGGGCTGCACGGGTGTGTGTGTGGGTGTGTGTGTGTGTGTGTGATGCGGAGAATCCAGGTAACCGCCCACCTCAGGACCTTCACTGACCACAGCAGTGAGGTCCCCTCGATCATGTGGCGGGACCCCCTAGGTCCTCAGGGTTACGACATGGACCCTGTGGGGCCCCTTTTCGCCCAGCCACAGAGGGTGTGGTCAGTGGGTGTGGTCAGGGCAGCCTCGGGGAGGGTCCAGGTGCGGGGAGCGGCTTGCACAAAGGTGGGGCTGGGGAGGGGGCGGGGGAGAGAAATGAGAGCAGCAGTGGGTCCCCCGGGTCCTGGCGACCGGGACCAAGCAGGGCAGCTTGGGGCCGTGCGTGGCGGATGCTCCTCTGAGCTCCCTCTGCCCCTGTAGGCAGGACACTGTGGACACGGAGCTGAGGCAACTGTTGGCAGGTGGCCCCATGCTCGGTCCCCACTGCGCCAGGCCAGGGTGGCGGTGCGAGGCGCCCAGCTTCCCTGAACTCTGACCCAGCGTCTCCGCTCACCCCGGGGCGGGGAGGGGCTCTGGACGGGGACGCTGCCTCGGCCTGGGCTCCCGGACAGGGCGGCCTGCAGGTCCCGGCCCCACGCCCTCCCCAGCGGATGTTTGTGCTGAGCAGCTGCAGCCACAGCTGCCGGCCCGCCCCGCCCTGGAGGCCGGCCACTGGCTCACACGTGACCCGTCCTCTCTGGACCGGGTCTCCGCCTCTGTCCACGGGGCTTTAGGACACGGGACCGGGACGCTCTGTCCAGGCACTCCTTGTAGGTTCCGGGCGCCTAGGGAGGGGCCCTGAGGCCAAGAGGGGTGCCTATCCCTGCAGGTGCTGCCAGTCAGCCTCGGTGGGGCCAGGCAGGCAGGGTGGCTGCGAGCCCAGTGGGGGGAGGGGGGGAGGAGTCGGTTAAAAGCCAGGCGGTTGCACAATGGGGGCAGCTGCAGCTCTGAGAAAGTTGTTTTTCAGGTGCACAGCTGAGCAGCAGCTGGAGGCACGCTCCCCGTGCAGGCAGGCGGGGCTGGCGGGGGACATGTCCCCCACGAGCCTGTGTCCCCCACGGCGGCCCCCCTCGTCAGGAGCCGGGGCCGTCTGGGTGCTGGAAGGGCACGAGGCCAGGGGTGTTCACTGGGGGGGAGGGGCGCTGGGCTCCCCAACATCTCCATCCCCCTCTCCCAAGATCCGGCCTGCCCCCGCTTCCCCCCAGGTCCCCTGCGGCTGAGAAGGGCAGTTCTGAGCTCAGAGGCTGCGTCCCTCTCCCCTCGCCCGAGCGTCTCTCAGCTCCGGGGACCAGGGCGGCGAGAGCAGGAGCACCGGCGTGCGTCCAGCGGCTCTCCCCCTCAGAGGTCTGGGCATCACCCCGGCCAGGAGGCCGCCAGCTCCTGCCGCACCCGCTGGCTTCCTCCCTCCCCCCCAGCCTCAGAGCCGTGGACTGAATCATCCCCACCCCCACCCTACCCCGACCCTCACCCGAGTGCACACACACACGCTGAGCTCAGCCCGCGGGGAGGTCTGGGGCTGGGCCTCCGGAGGGGGAGGGGTCGGACGAGGCTGGGGCGCCGTAGGAGGCTGCTGCCCCATGTGCAGCCACGGGGTTCGCCCTCGCCCGCCCGCAGGGAACCGGAACCGGGAGCCAGGCCCCACCTTGGCCTTGGCCACAGACCCCTCTCATAGGCCCAGCCCGGCAAGGTCACGGCTGGGCCCTCCACGCCCAGCACCCAGCCCACCAGCCCTGCCTGGACCCACACACACGCCCACACACACACCCAGGCCCCTTCCTCTTGGCGGCGCGGCCCAGCACCTGGCTGGGTGCAGAGAGGAGAGGTCTGTGCTTGTAAACTTTAATTCCGTACAGTAGAGAGACACGGGCACGCGACAGGGACTGGGCCCCAGAGCTCACGGGCACCGGGACGGCGCCCCCGCTGACGGCCGTGCCTCCTGCTGCTCCGGGGTCCAGGGTCAGCTCAGCGCTCGGTCCTGCAGCACCCCCTCCCCCGAGGTTCCAGCTCCCCGCCAGCCTCTCTCCCGCCCGGGGAGGGCCTCAGCCAGCCACAGGGCCCCGGGGCAGCAGGGCGGTCCTGCGTGCCCGCTCCAGGCCAGGCTCTCCCCAAAGGGTGCCAGGCGGTCCTGGTCACTCGCCGTGGGGCCGGGGAGGTTGGGAGCTGAGCCCTGAGGTGGGCGTGGGGAGGGCGGTGTGGGGAGGAGCGGTGCAGAGGCGAGGGGTGGGGGTGGGCCTCTGGGGCTGACGGCGTCTCGAGGACTGGACGGCGGCCTCGGGATCACTTGTCCGAGGGGCCGCGGCCGCCCGTGGGCACCGGAGCAGGGGAGCCCCCGGGGCTGGGGCTCGGGCCCCGGCCTGGCCCGTGGCTGTCGCGGGCGGCCCGGCTGGCACGGCGGTGCTGAGGCCCGGCGGCCCCTCGCCCTGGCCCGGCGGCGGCGGCGGCGGCGGCGGCGGCGGCGGCGGCGGCGCTCACAGCACCACCTCGGGGGCGATGCTGAACAGCAGGTCATCGTTGCCGCGTCGCACCTCCAGCAGCAGCGGCGACTCGGTCAGCACGGCCTCCTGCAGCTCGCTCGAGTCCGCCAGCGGCCGCCCGTTCACCTTCACGATGATGTCGCCGTCCTGGATGCCTCCTCTGCGGCGGCGGAGGCAGGTGCGCGGTCAGTGTGTGAGGTCAGTGTGCCGCCCCGGGCCTGCCCCCCGCACAGCAGGCTGACCGCGCGGCCCTTCCCGCCGGGAAGGTGCGTCCGGCCTCACACGCCAGGACGCACACGTCTGTTCCTCCCCGAGGCCCGAGGGCGGGCGCTGGGGCCAGGACGCGGCCCCTCCGAGCCTCGGCCTTCGTCCCGTCCTGCAGGGAAGTGCGCTCTGCAGGGGCAGCAGGTCCCGGGAGCCGGCCCCGACGCGGTCACGGCTCCTGAGACGGTGGCCGGGAGGCGGAGCTGGCCGGCTGGCCTGCCTGCTGCACTGGACTCACTGCGACCTTCCCCACCACCCAGAGGGCGGGCAGGGCGGGGCAGTGGTCGGGTGTCTGGCCTGCAGTGCCCAGGCCCACACGTGCCGGCTGTGTGGCCGTGCAGGGGCCCCTTCCCTGAGCCTCAGTCTCCCCATCTGAGAAATGGGTGGGCACAGGCTGCTGCACCTCCCGGCTGCTGTGCGAAGTAACTGAGACGATGCGTGTGGACCGCCCAGCCTCAGAGCAGCCCGGAGCCCGGGGGGAGGGGGGCGGGGGGACACACACACTGTCTCCAGCTCCCGGGTGACAGCTGGGGGCCAGCCGCCCGCGCAGCCCACCCACGTGCCTCGGAACCCTCCGTTCAGAAGGCAGGGCTTGCTCAGGGTGCAGCTGCCTCAGCTCAGGGTGTCGCAACATCACCCTTCCTCTAGTACCGGAGGTGACAGGCCTGAGGGGAGGGGGGTAGGCTGGAGCACGTCCATTTTGCAGCCGGGAAGACAGAAAACCTGTGCCAGCCGTGGCCCATGAGGGTCAGACTCTGGGCAGCGCTCCGGCCCCCGAGGCCAGGGGCATTCAGGTCCTGGACGGGCACAGCCAGCGCCCTGAGGGACACACCCTCTCCACCTGCCCTGGCTCACAGGCCAGGCCCTCCACCCCTCCCCGGGTCCTTCGCCATCGCGTCTTCTGAGGAAGCTCAGCAAGGCCCCAGGAGGTCTGGCCGCCCCCCAGCCAGCCCCCCGCTTTCCCGGGGAGCCTACCTCTGAGACGGGGAGTTCGGGACCACCTCCTGCACGTAGATGCCGCTGCTGACCTCGGGGAAGTCCGGGTTGTTGGCCTTCAGCTCCTCCACCAAACTGCGGAGGCAGACCCGCTGTGAGGCTGCCTCAGAGACGCCCCTCAACCACCGGACAGGACCCCGGTGGGCCTGCACCGCCCGCTCTGCCACCACCTCCCGCACGGCCACTGGCTCTGCCCGTGTCCCCACTCCACGGCTCCTCAGGAGACCCCCGGGGAGGTGGGTGATGGCAGTGGGAGAGGAGGGTGGTGGGGAAAGGGGAGAAGGCACAGCGGGCAGAGGCCTGGCCTGAGCACCGCCCGGCGCCTGCGGGGCCGCCGAGGGCACCTGCAGGCCGTGCGCCTGACCCGGCGGGTGGGACCACGAGGGACGCGGCGGGGGGAGTCGCCCGGACCCCCACCTGGGGGTGATGGTCCGCATCCGGATGCCAATGAAGCGCTTCTTCCAATCTGCAACGGACAGGGCCGTCAGGACCTCTGAGGAGGGCGGGGGGAGCCCCCCGGGAGCTGTGCCATCCTGCCCCCCCGCCCCGCTCCCCGCCCCGCTCCCGCTCCCCGGGGCTAGTCCGGAGGCTGGGAGCAGCCCGGGCCAGTCTGCTGGCCTCACGCCCCCGCACGCAGCCACCTCCGCCCGCGTCAGCGAGTCAGCGAGGCTGCCGGGTCTCCCAGGGCCCACACCCAACACCAGCTTTGTTTGCGGGTCCAGTAACATCAGAAGCTGAAATCTGAAAGGATGTACCAGCGAGGAGAGCCTCACGCACGGGCAGGATCTAGGACTCAAGCAGATGAACGCTGTGTGGGGCCGCACAGGGAGAACTAGAGGCCACGGCGGGAGGCCACAGCGGGAGGCCATGCGGGAGGCCACGCGGGAGGCCACGCGGGAGGCCACGGCGGGAGGCCACGCGGGAGGCCACGCGGGAGGCCACGGCGGGAGGCCACGGCGGGAGGCCACGCGGGAGGCCACGGCGGGAGGCCACGGCCAGAGAAGCCAGGAGGACAGATGGGAGGGGGGCCAGCCTGTGTTCACGGGGTGGGTGATGCAGTGTCACAATGACAGCTCTCCCCAAACCGACCAGTCAATGATGCTGTCAGACCCTCAGCAGGGTTTGGGGCTGGGACGGGTGAGCTGACTCTAACCTCTCTCCTGGAGTGCAGGTTACCCTACCTGACAGCCTGCGTGGCCAAGGGCAGAAAGAGGAAGTACTTAGGGACAGGCAGATAAGTGGTAGGGAGGGTGGATGCATGGGTGAATAGGTAGATGAATGGGTGGATGGGTGGATGGATGGATGGATGGATAGGTGGGTGGGTGGGTGGATGGGTGGATGGATGGAGAGGTGGATAGATGGATAGATGGATGGATGGACGGACGGACGGGTGGGTGGGTGGGTGGATGGATGGATAAATGGATGGATGGATAGATGGATGGATAGATAGGTGGGTGGGTGGATGGGTGGATGGACAGGATGGATAGGTGGATGGATGGGTGGGTGGATGAAAGGAAGGAAGGAAGAAAGGAAGGAAGGAAGGAAGGAAGGAAGGAAGGAAGGAAGGAAGGAAGGAAAGAAGGAAAGAAGGAAAGAAGGAAAGAAGGAAGGAAGGAAGGAAGGAAGGAAGGAAGGAAGGAAGGAAGGAAGGAAGGAAAGAAAGAAGGACCAGGTCCTGACAGTTACAGAGCAGCTCAGTCACTGGGCGTCTGGGGAGCCCAAGCAGTTGGAGGCGGCGGTGAGGTCAGAGCCCTCCAGCTGGCCTGGAGTGGGTGAGGAGTGAGCAGGGGCACCCGCACGGAGGAGGCCGTGGGGCCCAGCCTGGCGCAGCGTCCCGGCCTCGCCAGCCCGGGTGCTCGCTACCTTTGGCGTGCTTGTCCTGGACCTCGGTCAGGAAGAGCGCGATGCGGTCGGAGGGGATGGCGAAGGAGATGCCCGCTGCGACCTTGAGCGTGTTGATGCCGATGACCTCACCGTCCTGGGGGTGGGAGGTCAGAGGGCGGTCACTCCGGGGCCTCAATGGCGAAGCACGGTGTCCGGCCCCGCGGCCGCCCTGGCCGTGCACCTGCCGGAGGAGCTCCTGACCCAGACGCTGTCCTGAGCTGTCCTTGGTCACATCCGGGTCAGGGACCCTCTTCCCTCCCGCCGTGTCCACGTCTGCCTGCCCCCTCGCTGGGGCCTGCTGGCGCCCCTTAGAAGCAGTGTCCACTGACCCGGACACCCCCAGGCAGGGTCCTGAGGGGCTGGAGCCGAAAGAGGGCTGTGATGAGCACTGTGGGACCGGGTCCTCCTCTACCCTTTCCTCTGGAAACGGGGGAGCAAGGGGGGCCAGGGAGTAGCACCCCACTCCCTCCTCCCTCCATCTGGACCCAGCCTCCCACCCTGACCCCCACAGGCTGGGACCCCACCCCGCCTGGGCTGTGCCGCTCCCTGAATTCCTTTCTCCTGCACGTCCCCATCCACCCCGACCTCAGTCCCCACCGCCAGGTCAGGGCTGCCTCCTCCAGGAAGCCCTCCCTGCCCCTCACGTGCACTTGGGCGTGACCATGTGTGAACCCTCCCGCACAGTGGGGGTCCCCCTGGAGGGGGGGGTGAGACACCTGACAATCCCAAGGCCCAGGAGCCTTGGACTAAGTGTCTTGGTTTATCTTGAACCCTCACCCGGGCGGGAATGAGCCTGACTGTGAGCCCAGGACAGACCTGGGGGAGGGGCCGGGGAGGAGGGATGGGGAATGAGGACACCCCGCATCCGGCATGTAAACCCGAGGACAGGGAGGGGAGCGGATGACGCCCGCCTTGTCTCCTGCCCCAGGCCCCTGACGGCACCCTGACGGCTGCTCTCGGGCCACCCTTCCTCCTCCGAGGGCACCCGCACCCCCAGGGGTGTAGGCTCAGGGCAGCAGGGGCTCTGGGTCACGTCCTCCCGGCCTCCCACCCAGCAGCGTTCCTGACCCCCATCCCTATCTCTGACACCCCCCCCCCAGAGGCCCACCCTGGGGACACTTACCAGGTTCACCAGGGGTCCCCCGGAGTTCCCGTACTGCAGGGGGGAGACACAGCGTTAGCCGAGCCCTGAGCCCCTGCCCAGCACCCCGAGGCCCTGCCCAGCACCCTGAACCCCTGCCCAGCTCTCACTAACAGCACCGACAGAGCCACCGTTCATCCCCAGCAGCGGGAAGGCCTTCCCATATCCCCATTTCACAGACAAGAAGGCTGAGGCCAAGCAGACGCCGGCCGATGACCAGGTCTGCCCCGGGCAGTGCTCTCTGCACAAACTTCTAGGCTCACTACTCGCTCGCGTCCATGTCCCCGCCCCCCGGGGGCTGGGCAGCACGGGGCGGCCCTGGGATGGGACACGCGCTCTCATCCTGGGACCTCGGGGAGCGGGACAGAAGCTAACGTTTCCAGCAGGTGGCCTGGACCACGGGGACCCAGGGGGCAGGCGCTGGGCGCGGGCAAAGGTAACCCGGGTGTGTCTGTGTCTCTCCGTCCCGAAGGGCCGTCCCCATGCAGGGAGCAGTGGCCACGGAGCCGGGCAGGCCTGCACCCGGGACTCCCCGGCCAGTGGACGTGAGGGGTGGGGTGGGCTCCGGGGGGAGGAGGGGGCGCAGAGGCCGCCGAGGGCTCACGTTGATGATGGCGTCCGTCTGCACGTAGTCCATGTCCGAGTCCCGCAGGCCCAGCTCCTTGCCGTCGCGCTGGGCCGTGCTGACGATGCCGGTGGTCACGGTGTTCTGCAGGGCGAAGGGGCTGCCGATGGCCACCACGAACTCACCGGGGCGCAGGTCTGCCGATCGGCCCAGCTGCAGTGCCGGGAGCTTTTTCTGGGGGCGGGGGGGGGCGGAGGGAGGCTCGGCGGTGCACGCTTGCTCGGACCGCGGCCAGGCCCCCAGAAACGGCGAGAAGACCACGGCCAGGCCAAGGCCAGGCAGGCCTCCAGCTGGCCCAGGCGGGCGCCCACGGAGCCCACAGGTCTCCCAGGGGCTCAGCGTGAGGGGACGCTCAGGGGCCACCCAGCCAGCCCATTGGTGGGTCACAGGTCCCTCTGAAATCGGTTGGGAGCTACGGACGCCATCCCCAGAAAGTGCCCCCACACAAACTGAGGCCCACGATGGGGAGATGTGTGGGAGCCTGGGGCTTCGGAGGAGCCATGCCCCCATCCCACCCACCACAGCCCATTCCTGCAGCGGCCAGACGGACAGGTGCCCTGGGCCTGGGAGGCGCCTGGGACATGGTGACTTGGCCGCCCAGCTCCCGGCCGATCGGACCTGGGAAGGGACAAACCGCTGGTCCCTGGGCCTCGTCCCCCTGACTGTCCACGGGAGGCCGGCGCCCAGTCTCTCCTCTGGAAGCCGGTAGGTCCCCCTGCCGCCCCGCGCCCGCGCACCTTGGGGTGGATCTTGATGGTGGCGATGTCCGACTTCTTGTCGATGTCTTTGATGGTGGCCTCGTAGGTGTCGCCGCTCTGCAGCTGCACCTTGAGCTGCTGGCGGCCGGACACGGCGTTGGTGCTGGAGGCCACGTGGGCGTTGGTGACGATCAGGCCGGCCTCCGACACCAGGAAGCCGGAGCCGCTGGACAGCGGCACGTTGCGGCCGAACAGCGGGTGTCTGCGGGCAGGCGCGGGGTCAGGGCTCGGGCAGCCAGGCGTCGGGGTGACGGCCGCCTGACCCCAAGCCACTCAGGCTGCCGCTGCCCCGGAGCTTGGCCCGGGGCTCAGATTGGGGGTGCTGCGTGGGGCGAGGGGCGGGGGCACACCTCAGGAAGAGCTCAATGTGGACTACGGCCGGCGCGATCTGCTCCACCACGTCGGCGATGAAGTTGAACTTGTACCGTGGGCTGGTCAGCTGGTGGAGACCTACGCTGGCGGGAAGAACACGGGGCGTCAGCCAGTCCCACCGCGAGGGGCAGGGACCCCTCGTCCAGGAGCCCGCCCGCTGAGCTTCCTCCCATCGCCCCCCCGGGCGCTGCGGGCCAGCCCGGGGGCTCAGAGAGGTCAGGACGCTCGCTCTGGGCTGCACAGCCGTGAGGTGCCAGTCAGGCTGGGCCGGGGCTGGTCCCCGTGGGGCCACGGCTCTGCCATACGCAGCAACGCCCTGGCGCAAGGGCACCGTCCCTCCCTGTCCGCCATCAGAGCCGGACTGGGTGAGGTCCTCCCTCCAGAGCTGTCCCCTCCTGGCCTCCGGGCCCCTCCGGGCCTCCACCCTCAGTCCACTGGCCGCACCGCGGCTGGACTTGCCAGGAGGCTCAGATTCCTGCACCCGTCAGCAAAGCGGGACTGCTGCCCGCTGGGCCCATGCTGGAGGCCCCGGCCCCGGCCCCGGCCCAGGCCCTTGCCCCAGCTCTGCCAGGACCGGCGCCCTCCGGAACCCGGGCGGGCGGCCCAGAACTGCTCTCTGGGGTCCCGGCCGGAAGGAGCACTGGGCACGGAGCTCCACACACCCGGCTTGGCCAGGCGGCGCCACGCTCCGCTGTGTGGCTTCAGGCAAATCGCTTACCCTCTCTGGGCCTGGACTTCTGGTCTGAAGGTGAGATTGAAGACCCCCCCCTCCTGTGGGGCCGGGTGGGGACAGGACTTGTGCTGAGGGACACCCCGCCTCCCTGGGGGGGCATGCCACACGCCCTGCCACCTGCTGGTGAGCAAAGGGGGCCCGGCCCACAGAGCCCGGCACGGCATCAGCCCAGGTGACCTCTGGGAGCGACCGAGGCCGGAGGCAGAGGCAGCGAGGGCAGCGTGGGCGCAGCGGGGAGCAGGCACAGCCTGCAGAGGTGTCTCCCCAATCCCCACTCAGGGACCGCCAGGGACCGCCCAATTTCTCAGTGGGGACACCGGGGCTGTGAGAGGACGGCGCACAGATAGTGAGGGGTCCAGCTCCCTTCCGCAGGCCCCCGAGGCCTCACTGCCCATTAGGTCTGATATGGGACGCAGAGCCCGGAGGAGAGCTGGCCTCAGACCTGGGGTCCGAGGTGGCGAGGAGAGCCCACCTCCCACCCCTCAATGCCCACCCATCCCTCGAGGTCTGCCTCCAGCAGCCGCGGCACTGGCCAGAGGGTCCGGCCACTGCGGTCAGCCTGAATCAAAGGCCGCCTGTCGGGTGGCTGCAGCCTGGCGAGGAGGCGGGCGCATTGGCAGCCACTGCCGGCTCCTCCCTGACCCACGGGGGCAGCCTGCGGGCAGCCAGGGGCCACGGTGCCAGGAGCCTCTGCCTGGAGGGTTTAAGGTTCAGAGGCCGCGGTGACGGCCAGCCCAGGAACAGGGCGCCCCCTGCAGGAGGAGGCGCGGCCGCACCGCAGTCGCGCGCGGGGATGTCCGGGAGCCGGCACGGGAGCACGTCTTCCATGGGCTTTCCCGGTGACCACCAGGCAAACACGCACACGCCTCCACACAGGTGGGGAGGGGAGAGGAGGGCCTGGCGGAGGCCGGGCTGGGCCGGGGACAAACAGAACAGGCCGGGTCCTGTGGCACCCTGTCCCGGAGGGGGGAGGGCCCTGTGGCACCCTGTCCCGGAGGGGGGAGGGCCCTGTGGCACCCTGTCCCGGAGGTGGGAGGGCCCTGTGGCACCCTGTCCCGGAGGGGGGAGGGCTCTGTGGCACCCTGTCCCGGAGGGGGGAGGGCCCTGTAGCACTCTGTCCCGGAGGGCAGCAGGGCCTTGTGGCACCCTGTCCCGGAGGTGGGAGGGCCCTGTGGCACCCTGTCCCGGAGGGGGGAGGGCCCTGTGGCATCCTGTCCTGGAGGGGGGAGGGCCCTGTGGCACCCTGTCCCGGAGGGCAGCAGGGCCCTGTGGCACCCTGTCCCGGAGGAGGGAGGGCCCTGTGGCACCCTGTCCCCAGAGGGTGGGCAGGCAGGCCGGGCCCTGTGGCACCCTGTCCCAGAGGGCAGCAGGGCCCTGTGGCACCCTGTCCCGGAGGTGGGAGGGCCCTGTGGCACCCTGTCCCGGAGGGGGGAGGGCTCTGTGGCACCCTGTCCCGGAGGGGGGAGGGCCCTGTGGCACTCTGTCCCGGAGGGCAGCAGGGCCTTGTGGCACCCTGTCCCGGAGGTGGGAGGGCCCTGTGGCACCCTGTCCCGGAGGGGGGAGGGCTCTGTGGCACCCTGTCCTGGAGGGGGGAGGGCCCTGTGGCACCCTGTCCCGGAGGGCAGCAGGGCCCTGTGGCACCCTGTCCCGGAGGAGGGAGGGCCCTGTGGCACCCTGTCCCCAGAGGGTGGGCAGGCAGGCCGGGCCCTGTGGCACCCTGTCCCAGAGGGCAGCAGGGCCCTGTGGCACCCTGTCCCGGAGGTGGGAGGGCCCTGTGGCACCCTGTCCCGGAGGGGGGAGGGCTCTGTGGCACCCTGTCCCGGAGGGGGGAGGGCCCTGTGGCACTCTGTCCCGGAGGGCAGCAGGGCCTTGTGGCACCCTGTCCCGGAGGTGGGAGGGCCCTGTGGCACCCTGTCCCGGAGGGGGGAGGGCCCTGTGGCATCCTGTCCTGGAGGGGGGAGGGCCCTGTGGCACCCTGTCCCGGAGGGCAGCAGGGCCCTGTGGCACCCTGTCCCGGAGGAGGGAGGGCCCTGTGGCACCCTGTCCCCAGAGGGTGGGCAGGCAGGCCGGGCCCTGTGGCACCCTGTCCCAGAGGGGAGAGGGCCCTGTGGCACCCTGTCCCGGAGGGGGGAGGGCCCTGTGGCATCCTGTCCTGGAGGGGGGAGGGCCCTGTGGCACCCTGTCCCGGAGGGCAGCAGGGCCCTGTGGCACCCTGCCTGCAGGAGGGAGGGCCCTGTGGCACCCTGTCCCGGAGGGGGGAGGGCCAGGCCCTGAGGGGCTGCAGTTGCTCCAGGGTCACCAACAAGCTCCTTCTGGACAGAGACAAGCCTGGTGCTCCCCACGGCCGGCGAGGAACCAGCTCAGGCAGGACCCATGGAAGGCTCTGGGAGGGAAGGAGAGGGGAGGGGAGGGAGAGGCAGGGGAGGACGAGGATGTGCCTCTGGACCCCCTCTGACCCAGCACACAGTAGGGCTGCAGGCATCACCACAGGAACCACAGCCAGCCCACTACGCAGGCCTTGCAGGACCAGCCTGCATGGCCCACTTCCCATCCCGGGAAACCGAGGCCGGAGGTGGAGGTGGCTGGGCGGGGGTGGGGACCTCGGCGCCTGAGCCCTCCTGGACCCCAGGACCCGGGGCACCTCCTGGGGCTCCCCGGTCAGCCCTGTCCCTTTAAGCCGGTGGGAGGGGTGCTGGGGGCGAGGCCTGGCTCCTGGTCCTCCTGTCCCGGGGATGAGTTCCCTGTGAGTCAGCGGGAGGAGGGAGGGCTCCCACCGCCCTTTCCACACGGAGCCCGGCGCGGCTGGCTGGGCGGGCGGCGTGTTTGTTGGGGGTCTGGCCGGCCGCCCCCACCCTGGGCTCTGCAGTCAGCCCCTCCCCGCAGACCCAGCTGCAGCACCTCTTCCCACAGAACAAACCATCCGGGCTGGGGCGGTGCAGCCGGAGGCTGGACACAGAGCAGCCATCGGGCTACCGTGTCCCGAGGTGCCTCCCGGAGGCGGGCAGCGGGAGGAGAGAGCCGCTCGGCTCTGCCTGCCGGCCCTGCCCGCTGCTCTGGGGTCGGGTGCACGGGCGTCAGGATGGCCATGGGCAGACGGGGAGACTGAGGTCCGGCAGCCGCAGGCCACCTCCCCCTGAGCACACAGCCGGCTCCGGGCCACCCATGGGGACCCCAGCACGAGGGGCAGTCCAGGTCCCTGCCCGGTCCTGGGGACCAGAGGCCCCGTCACCCTGTGGCCAGCTGTGTCCGGGGCCACGAGGGCCACAGGGCTGACCGGGGGGCCCGGGCTGTCCCCTCTGTCTGCGGAACGGACCCGGCCCGGGGAGCGGGTGGCACCGGCCGGCAGTGCCCCCCACCGCTTCCAGGCCCATTTGGAGCCGCAGCCGCACCTCCCGCCCCGGCGCTGGCCCCCTCTGTGACCTGAGCACTCGTGCTCCCGTCGTCCCTGCCTCTGCCCTCCCCGCAGCCCTCACACCCGCTCCGGGAGCCTGCCCTGACCCGGGCTCAGGGGCTCTCTCTCCTCTGGGTCTGCGCCCTGCGGCCTGGGCGCCCGACCACAGCCGCGGGCAGCAGGAGTGACAGAGAAGGCGCGGGGGGGGGAGGGGGGCGGGGGCAGTGTTCTCAGGGACAGGCGAGCGGCCCAGGCCCTCCACGCCCCCCCCCCCCGCCCCCCGCCCCAGCCCCGCCCCAGGAGAGGCAGCTGGGAAGCCCCAGAGCCGCCTCCGGGCTAATTCCCAGACAGCCCCCGTGTTTTTCTTTCTCCTGCAAACGTCCGGTCCCCAGGAGCCTTCTCCGGCCAAGGACAGCGGGCGGATCCCACCCCACGCAGCTGCAGCTCTGGAGCGGCCAGGCTCCTGCCCCTGCCCCGCCCCCGCCCGGGCCACGCCCCCCACACCGGGCTGGGCCCTGACCATGGCAGTGACTCTCACAGCGTTCCTGCCAGGCAGGAGTCCTCAGCTCCTCTCCAGGCGAGGAAAGGGCTCAGCGAGGTCAGCAGACAGACGGGAGGCCCGCCCCAGCCCACAGCCAGGCCCTGCCTGCCCTCTGCCCCAGACTCGCCCCAGGCCCTGCCAGTCCTCGGCCAATGTGCCTGCCCGCCGGCCCCGGGGAGCTCACCCGCTGTCCTGGGCGTGGGGCCAGCCTGGCTCCTCGGCTCGGAATTCCTCCGGGGCTGCAGCCAGCACCGCGGCGGCAGCGGCGGCTGCCCGGCCGCCAGCCCGTCTGAGCCTCACCAGCCCGTCTGCCCGCCGGCCCTGCAGACCAGGGGGACGCCAGGACACCACCGGCCCCCGAGCCATCAACGCCCGGGAGGGCCCTCCTCCTGCCGGGAGCCCTCCCTGCCTGGCTCCCTGGGCGAGGCCCACGGCAGCCCCGGCCCGCAAACACGCCTGGCTCCTTCCGGGCCTCCCGCCTCTCCTCCCGCTCACAGGCCTGTGTCTGCCAACCCGCCGTCTGTCAGCATGTAGGTTTGTTCCTCCGATGCCGACGGGCCTTCACACCACGCAAAGCACTCTTCACTCCTGGGCTCACTCCCTGTCCAGCCAGCCGGGTACAGGGACCTCCGCGCTCCCATTTCACAGATGGGAAAACCGAGGTGAGGGCGCTCAGGAGATGGCAGGGTCTCGCCTTGGGACGTGGCTGAGCTGGGACCATCCCTGCGCAGCCGGCTCGGGGAACAGCACTGGGTCCCGCGGGGGCTAAGCACACAGAGGGCAGGTGGACCCTGCTCCCACCCACACCCCATCCCACCCCGCCCTGCGCCTGGTGCTCACTCCAGGGCCGAGCAGGGCACACTCAGCTCCTGCTCACCCGCGTGATGCTCGGGGTGGCCGTGGCAGGCAGCTCTGTTCGCCTCCAAAAGGCTGGGGGCTCCTGAGGCCTCTCACACATGAACTTGGGACGAGGACAGGGACCTGGCTTTGGCGGGGGATGGGGTGGGGCTGCCAGGGCGGCCGGGTCACAGAGAGTCCCCCAGGCTGGCGAGGGGATGAGCCATACCCTCCGGATGACACACACACACACAGCGCATGACCACTGACCACAGACAGAGCCACACGTTGGCCACGCTATAGTCACGGAGCCCAGCCCCCACGGATACCCTCCGTGCCGCCCCCCCCCCCTCTCCGAACCTCACCAGAGCGCATCATCTTGGCTCTCCCATCAGCCCATCCCAGGGCCCCCATCCCTCTGCCCTGGCACTGCCCCAACCTCCAACTCCATCAGCCCTGACATCCTACTGCCTCCGGGGCCGCCCCTCCCCCCTGCCCCGCTATCACCAGGCCTCGTCAGCTCCCGCACCCGGGACACTGGCTGGGCCCCTGCACCCCCTGTACATGCCTGTTACCCATACACTTCCTCGGCCCCCACGCCACCCAAAAGATGGGCCGCCCTTGTGGCTGCTCCATCTGCACCCACCTCTCTCAGCACTGCCTGCCAGGCTCCTCCGCACGGGCCCTTGGTGCCCACCCTTCCACGCCGGGCGGGTGCCACCTCCTCCAGAAGCCCTCTCTGATCTACCCCTCCAGGTCTGCATGTCCTCACCGGCCCCTCACAGACGGACCAGGGATTCCTGGGGGCCCTGCCAGGGGTGGTGCCGGTGGGAGCCATGGGCGGAGGGAGCCACGGGCGGTGGGCTGTCAGGAGGGAGAGGAGAGCCGAGCCCGAGGGTGCCTTGGGATCCCAGCTGCCCTCCAGGCTGGCAGGTGGTGCCAGAGGGAGGCGGAGGGTGAGGGTGCGTTAGGCCAAGTTCTGGCTGCAGTCACTGGCCAGCCGGGGCCTCACACTCCCCTCTGGCTGCCCTCCGTCTCCCAGGGCCGTGGCGCCAGCCGCCCAGTGAGGGCCAGACCTGCAGCTCAGCTCTGCTGCCTGTGGGAGGGGGCGCGGGGGAGGCGGCATGGGGGGGCCATCTTGCCTGACTTGCTAAGAGGATTAAAAATCAAACACCAACAAAGCTCTCCGGTAAGCACCGCCGGGAGCCACGGCGGGAACCTGCTGGGGTTGCAAATAAAAGCTGATTACGACATGCCACGTTGTTCTGAGTTCCCTGCGCTCAGAGGCCTGTGCCTGCAGCGGGGCGGAGGCCGGGAGCCTCCCGGGGCCCGGGGGGATGGGAGGCCTCCGCCCTGGGCAGACCCTCCGCACCCCTGGTCTCTGAGCTCACGGTTCTGTTAGAGAGGTGGGTGCGCACACCACGAGGCCACACTGCCTCCCGGAAGTGGTGAGCCCCGGCCCGGGGGCTGGTGGGGGGCACGCAGGGACAGGGAGGGTCGTAGGAGATCCCCCACCGTGTGGTGACTCACAGCACCTACTGTGCGCCAGGCTCTGACCCCCGTTCCCCCCCCCAGGGAAGAGACAGACCCCGCCCCCGCCCCGTGAGGCTCAGAGCCTGGTGTGGATGGACAGAGGCCCTGTCTACAGGCGGAATGAGGGTCTGGGGGGACGCCAGGGTGCACTCCTGAGGCTGAGGGGGGCTACAGAGGCAGGGTGGCCAGGGGGGCAGCTCAGGGCTGGTGGGCTGTCCAGGCCACACGGCGGGAGGGAACGGGACTTTGGGCAGCGGGCCCATCATGTGCAAGGGGCCTGGGGCGGGAAGACCGTCTGGCTGGGGCACAGGGGATGAGAAGGTGCTCGGGGTGGGAGAGCCAGACGGCACGGGCACTCGTGGGGCAGGGTCAGTGTTAGGGAGCTGTGGAGGGCACCCCGCCGAGGACGGGCAGGGCAGATTGGTCGAGGTCATGTGCACCGCAGAGGGAGGAGGCGTGAGGACGAACGGGGAGGCCAGAGTTGCCAGGGCGAGCGGGAGCCATGCCAGCTGGGGGACGCATCCAGGTCGAGCTAAAGCCGCCTCTGTGGGTGCGCGCTGAGTAGTGAGAAGCGGAGGGTCACAGGTGGCAGGCTCTCACCTACACGCCCTCGCAGCCAGGACACGGCCAGCAGGGCACAGGGTTCGGCTCCGAAGCGGCCGCGGAGTCCGGCCTGGGGGAGGCTGGCAGGGCTTCTGTGCGTGAAAGCTCGGACGGGCACAGCCTTTCCCGGTCCGGCTGGGCCCTCGGAGGGCAGAGGGGACCCTGCCCCAGACCCAGGCCTGACCCGACTCCAGGCCCCGGGGACCCCCTGCCCCCGCTGCAGGTGAAAGCCGGGACCTCCAGCCTGTGGCTTTCAGAGCCGGCAGCCTAGAGGCCAGCCTGGCACGGGCACTTCCTGGCCCACTGACCTCAGACGAGGCGCTGGCCCTGGCGCTGCCCCCCCCAGGCACGTCTGTGGTGCACGCCGGGCCGGACGCAGAGCAAACGGGACGGCTCCGGCGGAGGCCTGGCTGAGGTGAGCACTCACAGGCCAGTGGTGGGAGCGTGACCCTGGGGGACTGTCAGCCCCCAGACCTGCGAGCCTGAGGGTCAGCGGTCACCCCTTCAATGACAGCATCCGTCTCCCGACACCCAGGCCCGAGTCTGAGCATCCCCCTCCCTTCCCTGAGGGCCCCCAGTGACTCTCCCCAGTCACCAGGAAGTGCAGCTGGTGCTTCCCAGACGGAGCTCCCCGGAACCCCATGTGCCCGGAGCGCCTGGTGTCCCAGCCGGAAGGAGAGGCTCTGCTGCAATTCTCCTGGGAAACGCCGGGCGTTGTCACTCCTGTGCGTGTGCACATGTGTGTGTGTGAGCCTGTGCACGCGTGTGTGTGAGCCTGTGCATGCACGTGTGAGCCTGTGCACGCATGTGTGAGCCTGTGCACACGTGTATGAGCCTGTGAACGTGTGTGTGCCTGTGCACACACATATGAGGATGTGCATGTGTGTGAGCCTGTGCACGTGTGTGAGCCTTGCACGCATGTGTGAGCCTGTGTGTGCCTGTGCACGCGTGTGTGTGAGCCTGTGCACGTGTGTGTGCCTGTGCACGCGTGTGTGCACGCTCTCACTGCAGGCTTTCTCGGAACCTCTGACAGACTTCCCGGCCTCAGACGCTAACTCCCAGAACACCAGCCGGAGAGCCGGTCTACAGAGTGAAGTCTAGGCGTGATGCTGTGGCCATGGGTCATCCCACCCCTGCCAGCCTGGTGTCACACACACGGGCACACACAGCACACGTGCACACATGTACGCATGTATGCATACACCCCCACGCACCAGCTGCTCGGAGCTATGTGGCTCCCCACCTGCCCTTGCACAGAGCTCGCCTCCCTGGGCACAGGACCGCTCGCCCCACAGCCGTGCCGCCTGGCTGCCGGGAGGGCGCCCTCCGCTGGGGAGTCCCCCACCCTGAGGGCTCCCGGCGCCCTGGCGTCTCCCGCTCGGGCCGTGCAGGCCTGATCCGCAACCGTGGGCCCCAGCTCATGGTCTGCCCTCTCCAGCGGGGTCAGCAGGTTTTCTAGCATTTTCTTCCATGCCGAGGGGCAACCCGTGTGGCAAGAATCAACCTCAGCCTAGGCCCTGGCCGGTGTGGCTCAGTGGAGAGCGTATCTGCCTGTGGACCGGAGGGTCCCGGGTTTGATTCCGGCCGAGGGCACGTGCCTCGGTTGCAGGTTCCTGCCTGGCCCAGCCCTGGTCGGGGCGTGGGCATGTGGCAAGCAATGGATGTGTTTCTCTCACATGGATATTTCTCCGTCTTTCCCTCTCTTCGGAAATCCATGGGAAAATCCCCTGGGGTGAGGTTTAAAAATAAATAAAGGGACTGAGGAGTCCCAGGGCAGCCTCTGCCCGGCGGGGGGGGGGGGGGGGGGGGGCCCTCACCGCCCAGACCCACAGCTGGCAGACGCACATGCTAAGTGCAGCGAACAGGAAGGAAAACACTGACTGTTAGTCTGGGCACCCGGCCTGGGGGCTCGGGGCCAGGAGAGAGCCTCCCCCCCCCCCCACCGCCCCACACCCACACACGCAGCAGGGTCACGCAGCCACGGACATGGACCCAGGAGGCTGCGGTTACCCCTCCGGGCCTCGGTTTCCCCACCAGAGGGCGGGCGAGCTGACTGCCACCTTCTGCTCTGGCGCTGAGCCTCAGTTTCCCCTGGAGAAGCCTCCGCGTCCCTCCCCGCACCAGCCCGGCCCGGCCCCGCACTCACCCAGCGGGCAGGCGCCCTTCTGCAGCTGGCGCACGGGCGCCCCGGAGAGCCGCAGCGCCCGCCGGCTGGCCGCCTGCAGCGCGCACACGTTGGCGTAGGTGTGCCCGTCGGTGCCGCACACGGCGTGCGCCCAGCGGCAGCGGCACAGGCCCCGCGAGCACTCCAGGCTGTCCCCGCAGGGCGCGTCCAGCGGCCGGCCGCACGGCTCGCCCTCGCCGGCCGCGCACACCAGGCAGCAGCCGCAGGGGTCGGGCACGTAGCCGCCGGGGCAGCGCGGGCTCGGGCACCGCGACACGTCGCAGCGCGCGGGGCAGGGCGCCGCCGGGGGCTCCCGGGCCTGCGCCAGCGCGGCCAGCGCGGCCAGCAGCAGCAGCGCCGGTGCCCGCATGGCGAGGGGGCGGCCGGGGCCCGGGGACACGGAGGCCGCGGGCCGGGCGCCTGCGGGGAGCCGGGGCGGACGGGCGCGGCCACAGGCGCCGGCGGCTCTGGCTCAGGCGGGCGGGTGCCGGGACCGCAGGGGCATGACCGCGGCTGAGGGCTCCGTTCCCTTCGCTCCTTCGCTCCTGCTCCGGGGCTCGCGGCTGCAGGCGGAGGGCCCGGCGCATTTAAGGGGAAGCCCGGCCCCGCCCCGCTGGAAGGGGCGGCCCGGCCTCCCGCCAGCCCCGCGCCCGCCCCAACTGGCCCCCGCCCAGCCTTCCCGGCCGGGCCTGGACCCACCCAGCGGCGCAGCACTGGGCCTGGGCTGGGAGCCCCGCGATGGTGACCTGGGGGGGCCATGGGGAGGCGGAGACACCTGCACCAGACGCCCCCTGTCCAGGGTTCCAGCGACCCGAGCTGACCCCCTCCTCCCCAGCCTGTCTCTGCCCCTCTCCCCGCTCTGCCTGCTCCCTCCCCCACAACCTCCCCTGGGGGCCCTCAGTGCAGGGCAGGGGTTGAGGGGTTGGATGGATGCCCCCTGCCCCCGCCCCCACCTCCATCAGGGACAAACCCTCATGCGGGGGAATCTTTTCCTTTTTAATAGATTTTTACGGATTTCAGAGAGGAAGGGAGAGGGAGTGAGAGGAACATCGATGGTGAGAGAATTATTGACGAACGTCCTCCCACCATCCCCGGACCGGGAAGGGGACCCCTGGGTGACCTCCTGGTTCACAGGATGGTTCTCAAGCACCGAGCCACCGGCTGGCGACGCCTGGGTCTTTGGAGGCTGGAGCGTGCCTCTCCCGGGCGGGGGCTGCAGCTCTGCCTCGGTCCGTCTCCATGCACCTCATAGGAGCGCAGGGGGAGCCCCCAGAGCAGGCGGGGGGTGCAGTGCTTCACCCAGTCTGCGGGACTGGAGGCTGCTTCTCCTCATTAACCACAGTCTCTGAGGGCCCCTCCCCGCCCCAGGCGCCCAGGGCCGGGACAGGAAGTGAAGCCACTGTGATGGGGTGCAGGGTCCGAGGAGAGGGCCGAACCCCCTCTGAAGGTGAGTGGGGTTTGGGTGTGGTGAGGGGACTGGAAGCTGACGGAGGACAAACCGGAGCCGGCCACCACCGCTCCCCACCTGCTCATAGGCTCCGGACGCAAAAACAAACCAGAGCGAGCACTCATTCATCAGGAGAGGACGGCGTGCTGACCGGGGCTGAAACTCCATTGGGGAGGTGACGGCGTGCTGACCGGTGCCGGATGTCCATTGGGGAAAGGACAGCGTGCTGACTTGGGCTGGGTGTCCATTGGGGAGAGGATGGCGTGCTGACCGGGGCTGAGCGTCCATCAGGGGGAGGACGGCGTGCTAACCGGGGCTGGGCCTCCATCGGGGAGGGGACAGTGCTGACCGGAACTGGACCTCCATCGGGGAGAGGACGGCATGCTAACCAGGGCCGGATGTCCATCGGGGAGAGGACGGCGTGCTGACCGGGGCTGGGACTCCATTGGGGAGGTGACGGCGTGCTGACCAGGGCCGGATGTCCATTGGGGAGAGGACAGCGTGCTGACTTGGGCTGGGTGTCCATTGGGGAGAGGACGGCATACTGACCGGGGCTGGGCATCCATCAGGAGAGGACGGCGTGCTGACCGGGGCTGGGCGTCCATCAGGAGAGGACGGCGTGCTGACCGGGGCTGGGCGAACATCAGGAGAGGACGGCGTGCAGACCCGGAGGCCAGGCCCAGGCCTGTGGAGCAGAGGGAGTGGCCCGCAGGTCCAGGACGTCCCGGGGAACTGGTGGCTCCTTGGGAAGAACAGGGTGCCGCCCCCCCTTCCCCCCCCTGCCCCCCCATTTCGTTGCACAGAAAAGAGAAAACCTGGGAAGGATCAGGAGCTCCATCTCTTCTCAGCCCACCTCGCCAGGTGGGGAAACAGGCCCCGCTTGCAGGCCTGTGCAGCTTAGGACGGCAGCATGGCTGCCCGGCCCGGGGCTGCTCCGAGCCCAGTGTTACCTGACTCCGCATCCACGGCCCCCGGGGGCGGGGGTGACCCTCAGAGGAAGGCTCTGGAAGGTGGAGCCTGCCCATGGCAGGCGGGGACTCAGACCCGGGCGCCCTGCCAGCCAAGTCCCAGCGCTTCCCTCCAGACCACACTGCCCGCCGTCACCCCACCCGACCTCTCCCGCTGCCCTGCCAAGGAGGCGCTCATTTCTTGTGTAGCCGGGGAGCGGAGGCCGAGAGGACAGACACACAGAGCTGCCCTCCCTGCCGGCCCCCTTAGTCGCCTTTGTTCTCAGACACGGCGGCGGGGACATGGCGCTGGGCCCCGGGCTGCAGAGCGGGCTGGCAGAGGCCCAGGACGCTCTGTGCCCTCAATGGGAACCCTCAGCTGCTGGACACAGAGGGAGCAGCGCCCCCTGCTGCTCCAGCTCCTTCCTGCCTCTGGTCAGCAAACCTCACCCTCAGGGCTCCCTCTCCTGCCCGCACCCCCTTTCCCTGGGATCTGCGTCTTACCCCAGCCCCGCCACCCACGGGCGAGGGGCCTGTGGCCTGGCATGCACCCAGGCGGGGCGGGAAGGAAGTGGGCTCCTCGGCGGGCAGGGCACAGGGAACGCAGGTCCTGCAGGTGCACTGGTCACCGAGGTGCGTGCTCCCCGAGGCTGGGGGCTGCTCCAGGTCCACAGGATGCTCCTGGTCCACACCCGCCCCATTCTGGTCCCTGCGCCACCTGTCAGGCTCTCTGCGAACCAGGCACAGCGGAGGAGGAGAGCCGGTGGGACGAGAGCGAGGTGAGGTGAGGTCAGGTTCTTGTCGGGAGACTCCCCTCTCAGCGCCGAGGCTCCGGGTCCGGGAAGCAGGGGCGGGTGCTGAGGACACGCTGTGCCCGGAAGCATCCTGGTCCCCCGTGGAGGGGACGAGGGTCCCGGGAGCCAGGGAGATGCCGAGAAAGGAAGTCCTGACAGCCCCCCCCCCCCGCCCCGAGTCGCAGGGGCCCCCCTGGGGCACGCCTCCGGGGGGATGAGGAGAGACGGCCCAGGGACCCTCCCTGCGGGGGCTCCGCGGCCAGCGGTGACCGGGGAGCGCAGTGTCCAGGCAGAGTGACCGGGGAGCACAGCAGGGGCTCGTGACACTGAAGGGGTGAGGATCGGTCTCTTTCACTCAGGAGCATGGCTCCTCCGTCCCCCAGAAACACATTAGCACAGGCAGACCTCCATCCGCTGCCCACAGGGATGGGCTCGGGCCAGCCCACGTGGCTGGCGGCACACAGCACCGCAGGACGAGAAGGTTCTAGAAGAGGCGACCACCTCTGCGCAGAACTGGCCAGCAGGGCTGCACGCTAGTCCTTGGGTCATGCTCCCAAACTCTGGGCAGGCTCTGCCCTTCGCCTGCCCCCTGGGAGGCCGGGGCGCGTGCCGGCTGAGGTCACAGCTGACTCACTCTGGGGACCTGGACCCCCATTCCCAGCCACACCTTGGTCTGCGACAGGCATCATCGGACAAGGGGGTGACTCAGAGGGTGGGCCCGCTCGGGTGGGGTGGGGAGGGGTGACGTGGGACTCTGTCTGCAGCCTCCCCTTGGCCCTCACCACACGGGCCCCGCCTGGCCCTGGCCGGGCTGCGGGAGAGGCGAGGCAGACGCAGCAGCAGCAGCTCTCGGGACCCCTGGGAAGGGGGTGCTCTCAGACCCCACTTTGCAGGCGAGCGCCCAGGCGCAGGGAGGGGGAGCGGCAGCCAGGCCTCAGCCCAGGGCTGGCCCTCCGCAGTCTGAGGCTTCGTGTGCAGAGAGCTAGGAGTGTGTGGCCCTGGGGAGGGGGGCTGCTGGAGCTGGGCACGCCCCCTCCCACACCCCTCTCCCCCGATCCTCTCAGCCAACAGCAAAGAGGGACCTCAGTCCCACAGCCCAGAGAAAGCAAATTCTGCCAAAGCCCAACACCTGAGCCCAGCCCAGGCCGGCTGCCACGGCTGGCCTCGGCCTGGGAAACCCTGAGGCCACAGGTGTTGGAAGCCACAGAAAACGAGTTTGGGGGTGAGGGCCGAGGGCGGGGACCACACAGGAGGGGCTCTTCGCCTGGAGGAGGGGGGGCACCTTGCTGGTCCCCCCCCCCCCCGGCACTTCCTTAGGATGTGGTGACAGCACCCAGGGCTGGGCTCTGCCCCCTCAGGGCACAGACGCTGGACTGGGGGGCTCCCAGGCCCCTGAGCTGATGGGGAGTGGACCCAGGATGGGAGAACAGCGTATCTGACCCCAGAGCTCATGCTCTCTCTCCAGCACCATCCTGCTCCGTGCCCATTTCACAGGAGGGGAAACTGAGGCCGGAGGGGCGGCGGGCTGAGGGGTAACTGCAGGTCACATGGATAAGTCCAGTGTGTATCGGGCAAACACCACAGAGTCTGATTGTGCCCACACCCTCGGAGGCGGTGGCACCATCCGTAGCTGGTGCCCAGAGAAGGAAGCGAGGCACAGAGAGGCCCAGCAACTTGCCCGGGCACACAGCGGGCGAGCCAGAGCCAGGAGTGGACCCCGGGCAGCGGCACTCATGCCTCGCAGATAAGACGCTGCAGCGCTGACAGGACAGCTGGCGGGTGGAGTGCGGGCGGCAGGGAGGGAGGGGCTGGTGTCTCATAAGAAGCAGCCGTAGCTCCGAGTGACGCCGCTCCAGCCCTTCTTGGAAATTAACCCTCCCCCCCACCCCACCCCCGAACTGGACCGGAGCCACTCCTGGACCAGCCGCTCTCCGCTCTGGGCCCGCAATAGCCCCACCCACCCACTGACTGGGCCCGTCCATCTGTCCTGCTTCCTAAGCTGCCAGACCTCCACCCACCCTCCGGCCTCCATCTGCCCTCCGGCCTCCATCCACTCTGCCCTCTGGGACCCACCAGTCTGGCAGCCTGAGGCCCTGGTCTGCTCCGACCTCTCCACGGCCGGTCTGGCCACCCAGGCTGCTGGGAACGGCGGGCTTGGCAGGGGTGATGGGCCGGTCGGCAG